CGAACAGAAAACTCACCGGATTTTAAACGTCTGTAGTTTTTTAAAAATGAGCTTCACACAAATCTTCTTCTGCCGTAGTCTTTGGCGAAGATTCTTTACAGGTTTCTACTTCCCAAAAGCGTTCAACTAATTTGTTTAATTCGACATCAGAGTCATTTGGTAGACCCATGTCGATGGCTGCTAGGCACGATAATTTTGCAGCGTTGTACGCAGTTGCGCCCGATACTATCCAACTTTCAGCCAAGCGTATTTGACCAACGCAAAGTAGGACGAAAAATAAGCTAGCTCCAATGAGCATGTCAATGCGTTGATGTTCAAAGAATAATGGATCCGCTAAGCGTATATTCGAAGGTATGTTCCAATCAACGCATTTTAACGAACGACTTGGTTGAATATCGGTAATGGTGGATGTGACGACTGCTGTCAAGTAAGCCGTATAATCAGTAATACGCGAATGGAGCCTTAAATCAACGATATGATTGGTGGTGAAATCATTTTGGCCTATGCCAGAAATGAACTGTGACGAGTTAACTTTCTTTAACTGAAGCTGACTAACAAGTCGATTGGTTACGAAGTTGAGTTGTGACGCAGAATCTAGCAAAGCTCTGCAGGGAATGAGAGAGCCAGATCGATTTTTTAAATAAATGATGGCAGTTGCTAAGAGAACGAAATCTCGGTTAGCAAAGCTAGCTTGAGCTTCAGAGCTGACAAGTGCAGAAGCTGATGGGCCGAAGGTTGAAGACGAATGGGGCAAATACGGGTGTATAGAAGTGGGGAGTATTGTTGTTGCTTGTGCTTGCGATGGTGATTTAGCACAAGTCAATGTTTCAGAAGAATTCGCAAATGAATTTGTGTCTTGATGAAGCAGACTGTGATGCTTCGACGAGCAATGCCTACACTGGCCGGACTTACAGTCCTTAAGAGAAGGAAAGCGTATGGACCGAAAAATTCAATCAGACAAATTTCGGAAAAAACAACCGAAAACGTACCCTTTCGGTACTTTTCTGTACATACGTTTCTGCCGCATACTTTAGTGGGAAAACGGACAAAAATCCGGTTTTAATCGACTTTTTTCCCGTTTTCGGATCGGTTTTCGGATTTTTTGCTGGCTGGGGTGCAACACATGGACACAAGCGTATGCACATACATACATGTATGGATATGCGTGTTGCTGTTCCATACTCCATGCTCCATACCACATTGCAGCTAAATACTATTATGCTAATCCCAAAGTGGTTTCACGCCAGAAACGAGTTATTGTTTGCACAAGTTAAGACGGCCATTGAAAAACCAATCGCAACTAACTAACCTTCCATCATAATGCATTGTTTAAAACTGTCTAAACAGCTCCATATCATAGCAACTCCATCATTGGTTGAAACAGCAATAGCTCCGACTTGGTCTTCGTTCATAACATCGCTTATCAAGGAAAAACAAAGAAAATCCAAACACTTTACCAGCAACAATGAATATCAACAACTATACAGTGAAGCCCTAGAGCCTTTCGAGCATGATTGGGAGATTGTTTATACGGACGGATCTAAATCCAGCACCAGCACTACGTTTGCTGTAACAAATAAAGTTTGGTGCCACCATTACTGTATACTCTTTTCCATCGTGCTGCTCGGTATTCACAGCCGAAGCCGCTGCTCTACTTGAAGCTGTACCTTTTGCCTCTCATAATGGAAGGAAAACTGTTATTTGTAGCGACAGTAAATCCACCATCGAAGCTGTTTCAACCAATCAAACGACACGCCAATGATCAAGAAAATTGGCAACATCCTACTTCAGTACACCACTCAAATCAAAATAATGTGGGTGCCTGCCCACATAGGTATACACGGTAATGAAATGGCGGACAAAAGAGCAAAAGAAGCCGGTAGATAGCCTCTGCATATGGCTGACTATTTTACTGAAAGAGATATTGTACGTACACTGGTAAATAGATATCTAAGAGACACATTTTCAAGCGAATGGAACCGATTTAACCATTACTATAAAGGCTATAACCCCACTAGCGAGGAACCTATGTACCATACAAGCTCCTCTTCGTGCGTCTCAGGACTGGGCACACACTCGAAACTCACGTTCACTTTTTGAACAAACCATCTGATTTTCTTGCACAAACCGTCATATTGAAGAAATTTTAAAATTTGTAACACTAGCAAAAATTAATGTATGTATAACAATTTGAGCATTAAACAGAAAATCACAAAACTTATGTAGATTTAAAACCCTGCACTTAATACGTGCTTCAGTTACAATATTCATTTGTAAATACTGTTAGTTCTATGAATTATTATTGTTAATATTCCCTTTTTAACTTTAATCTCCTATCTTTACGCACATAATTAATATAAATAAATTTTCTTTTTTTACTTAAGCCGAAGGCCCTGGTAGACAGTGCTTCAGTTTGTAAGTGGAATAATTATTTATAACCGTTTCTCTTTTAAATAAATAAATAAATAAAAATAGAAAATTAAAAATAATCAAAAACAAGTAAGAAAGTCTAAGTTCGGGTGGAGCCGAACATTAAATACCCGGCGCATGTATTAAATATATGTTTTTTCACCTTTCCGAAAGCTACCGCTAGATGGCAAGCCGGGGTGTATTAATTTTGAGTAAATTAGCGTCCTTAAATTTCGAAATATTGAAGTTTCAAGCATTTCTGAAATTTACCGTTATATGAAAAGCGGCCGTAATTTTAGTCCGATTTTAATAATTTTCAACGTTTTGCTTTTATGGGGCAAGCACAATAAAAATACCAAGTTTGGTACAAATTGGTAGAACGGTTACCGATATACATATATGTGATCATAAGTGGGCGGTGCCACGCCCATTTTCCAAAATTTTACCATAAACGTATTTCTTGGTAAAGAATTGTTGCAAGCATCAGTTTTGAATAAATTAGCTTTAATATTTACTGATTTATCGAAGATTTTGTATTTCTCTAAATTACCGTTATATGTGATGTGGGCGTGGTTATTGTCCGATTTTTTTAATTTTCGGCCATTTAGTATGCTGTACCAAGGCCAACAACTGTTCCAAGTTTGGAAGAAATTGGTGCAGCGGTTACCAAGGTATACACATGTAACTATAAGTAGGCGTGGCTACGCCCATTTTCCAAAAATTTATAATATTCTTATTTTTCGTCTAATAATTGTTGTAAATATCAATTTTGAGTGAATAATCTTCAGTAGTTATTAAAATATCGCAGTTTTCGTATTTCTGGAAATTACCGTTATATGGGAAGTGGGCGTGGTTACAGTCCGATTTCGCCCATTTTCAATACCAACCTACCTTGGATTAACGGAAACCTACATACCAAATTTCGTTGAGATATCTCAATTTTTCCTCGAGTTATCGTGTACACGGACGGACGGACAGACAGACATGGCTTAATCGATTTCTCTATTCATTCTGAGCATTTATGTATACATTTGTCTATGTCTATCTCGATTCGTTTTGGCTGTTACAACCGTTATGTGAACAAAATTAATATACCCTTGTGCACAAGTGCGCTCGGGTATGATAATCATGATTAATTGAAATTAAAAAGATAATTAAAAAAATTAAAAAACAAATAATGGTATTTAATCATTAAACGGTTACCCAAAAAACATGCTTTAATTAATAACCATTATGATTATTAATCATTATTTAATAGGTCTGCACCATAATATACATTTCAAGTTGAGAAAGAAAAATTATTGCTATTTTATATGATATCACCTAAAAGGCAATGCGGCGTACTCATAGTGGACACTTAAGTTAGTTGCAGCTCTTTGACATAATTTTCAACAGAACATCTGTCAAAAAAGCTGCATCGACTTTATTCCGACTATGAATATGCTTCACAACTAGTACGCGTAAGACGCTGCTTTCTCAAAAGTTGAACAATTTGTACTGAACAATGTGGGAACCGAATATCGAAAATATTGATGTCGCAAACAATACTCTCATCGCCTAATCGCAACAGTAAAATACCATTTTATCAGTTTCCACCTTCGTAGATCTAACATTCACGAAAAATGCTTTGACTGATGAAAAAGTCTTTCAGGACTACAGGCTAGGCTAGGCTCTCCTGAACCGCTTTTATTTTAGATCTATATGCATTCTTACTGGAAGCCTAAACATTTCGGTACCGAGTTTCGAAAGTATTGGATACTTCTTAGATTCGGTACCGAGTATCGATCAATACTTAAAAGTATCGACTCAGCACGTCACTAGGATTTAACCAACAAATTCGTTTGATAAAGTAATAAACTTTGGTTAAATAGATTTCCATACAAAATTTATCATTTTATCAAGTTTATCAGCAGTTTACACTTTTGTTGAAGACTCCTACTATTTCTACGAAAAAAGTACCTTGCCTTAAAGAAATGTGTAAATTTTCGAGCATTTATTTCTTGTGAGCTGCAAACTGATTTCAGATCTTGGGCGTTTTTTACATATGTACATTTTTGTTTTTGTTAAGGGCTGGAAACTATCCCAAAAGTAGTTTTTGGAGAACAAAAATTTGTTCCAACTACTCAATTTTATCTTCAACCTAAGAGCCCAGTAAACATAGAGAAAAGTTTCCGGTATTTCAGATGTCGAAATAAAATATTCTAGGATATCGTATCGCTAATCCTGATATCGATATAAATTAATGGATATGTTGAACAACGATATTGATACATTAAATATGGCATCGGTATCGCGCATATCTACTTACGTATGTACATACGTAATGTGACCAACTATTTCGAAGCTCAAAGAAGTACAGGTAAGTTTGGGTTAAGTTAACGCCGCGGCCGCGAGCCGATTACGAAATTTCGAATGCGGCTAATTTCCAACCCTGAGTAGGGATGCAACACCGCTCTTAAAAACATCGATGTTTGAAAACATCGATTTTCCCACAACAAACATCGATGTTAAAAAACATCGGTTATAAAAATGATACATCGATATTTTACCGATGTTTAATTTCTCATCTACTACCGGAAATAAAATGTAGCCTGAAATATTTTTTAAACTCGAAAGAACTAGATCCGCTACAAACCATAACTTTATTCAAAACTGTGAAAAATTCAATTTTACACATTTTTATCTTAATTTTGAACTTTTTTTCTGAATTTTTAGAAAAATCCGCTAAAAAATCGCCCTGATTTTTAACGAATCGGTTTTGCTGACGGGGTTTTGCACTTTTTACCATATAAAAATAAACAAACAAACAAAATTAAAAAAAATCAACACCACCTTGCACCTTTTATATGAAAAAAAAAATGCAAAATCCGCCACAGAAAAATAATTAAAAAGCAAAGCGACTTTTAGCCGCTTAAAACTTGCACCTGTTTTATTACCTGGAAAAACAGAATTTTTTTAAATATTCAGACTAAAAAGTTCAAAATTTAGATGAAAATTTGTTGAATTTTTCTAAGTTCTTGTTACGGAATAAACCATATTTTTATAAAAAAAAAAATAACAAAAAAAATGTATGTGATTTTAAATTATAACACCGTGTGACAGACACTTTTACACACGCAAAAATCAATATATTCACAAAACTGGGGGCCAAATATAGTAAAACAGCGTTTTTAGTTTTTCTCTCTAACGTCAGGAT